TCAGTCCGTAGAGGATTATTTTAGCCTGATCAGCTAATGTATAGTATATTTAGCCCATCCCATTGCTCATCCTTCTGGTTTTGGCTTCTCCAGCGCTGATGGTATTCTCCCCAGGCTTGGTCGTGGTAGATGCAGGACAGTGATCTCCATAAAGAGAAAATTAAACCATGGCAGAACATTTTCTGTTCCAGGTGCTACAGTTTCAGCAAAGGACCTTTCGATTCTTTGCTGGGATGAGGCAGGGTTGGAGGGAAGGATGAAGAGACTGATTAATTTTTTAAAAAAATCCAGCTTAACTAGTTCCTCATAGGTAGAAGTAGAAATGCTGTATCAAAGACCAATTACACAAAACCCTTGATATTAAAAATATTGAACCAGTAGCAAAGAATGATTCCATAATAGCCCTGCAGTAGAGGCAGAATCCAGTTATCTTTCCTGATTTCTCTTTCACTTTCTCAAAGCCCACCCTCCATTCACACACAAATTTTACCTCAGGAAACGTATGTAACTTATTTCTTCTTATTAACTATTAAAAGGATGATGAATAATTTGGTGTGGGAGTAGGCAGAAAAATTGAGGAAGGCCTATTATTTTCTAACGTTCTACCTTCCTTCCTTTCCTTAGTGCTGGTGCAGTTTCTTGGCACTGATTTTGAGAACGTGTAATTACTGGACCATGGAAATTATCTGTTTTTTTAGAAGAAATGTGGGAAGGAACTTGCCATGAAGTATACAAGGTGGAGTGAAGTGGGTAAGAAGGGGGTTGGGTAGACCTGAGAAATGGTTGAGGTGTCCACAAGTATAAGAAGCTAAGGGGAAATGCTCAGGACTGGCCAAGGTAGAAATGCCCTCTCTTTTTAAGTAAAATCAAAATAATGTAACATAATGTAGTTAAAAATCACATAATATTTGATGCTTAGGCAAAAACCCAGCAGTCCTCAGTTCACTCCACTGAGATAGTCTCTTTTAATTATTTCAGCTTTTTCATCTGGTATTTACTTCCTATTTCTAAATTATATGTTTCTTCTTTTGTTTCTTAATTTAGAAATATTAGACATATCTGCTCTTTTTTTGTTATAGTATTTGAAATTTTAAGCATCTTACATCACATTGTATCCCTACCTTCCTGTTCCTCCTACCTCATCCTCCTTATAGAGTTATATAACAGTTTTGGCCAAATCAGTAGTCATTGTTTACACTATTATCACTGTGTAAATAGCATCAATTGTGGAGCCAAGTAGTGTATTTTGATTGTTTTATGTCCTGAACAACCCTTTCTTTGTTATGAAGTTATAATTATTTAAGAAATTTATTTAGTTTATTATGCACCTATCCTCAGTTTATGTCTGAAATGCCAATTCTGTCAAATACTTATTAATATTTTCTCTCAAATGGTCAACAGATCAGATAATCTAAGAAATTAATTTTCTTTTTCCTGAAGGCTTGCTCCATCCCCACTGGGTAATTCTTTTTAGTCATCAGTACTATCTGCTGACTGTGAAGTGAAGTGGAAAGACAAAACTGAGGCACAGGGTTGATGTTTCTAAACCAGAAAATGTCCTTTCTGTGATCTCTGACCTGGAGAAAGACAATCTGAAGGAAGGAATATGGTCCTTGTGATAGGAGTAGAAGCAAGAGTGTACAATATTTAAATATTCTCTTTCCTTTCCCCATCACCCTCCTCTTTTCTGTGTTTTCCTAGAAGAAGGAAATCCTGTTCTAATCTTCCTTTTTATACCGTGGTCATTCTAAGCCTTCGACTGACCCACCAAAGGAAGAGGGAAATGCAGGCTACCTATTTTTTTAAATTACATATTTATTGGGTATACTGGACGTTTGATGAACTGCACATACTTGAAGTGTATATTTTCATGGCTTTTGAAATGAAATCACTGCCACAATCAAGATAATGAACATGTTACTCCAAAAAATTTCTTCATGTGTCTTTGTAAACCATCCTCCCTCCCTCTTCCTGACCATCCCCAGGCAACCATTGATCTTTTTCCTGTCACTATATATTAGTTTACACTTTCTATAATTTTATATAAATGGAAGCATACAGTATGTAGTCTTTTTTGTTGTTGTTTGGCTTCTTTCACTTCCATTCTTATTTTGAAATTCATCATATTGTTGTGTGTATCAGTAGTTTATTTCATTTTACTGCTGAGTGATATTGTATGCAAGTCATTGTGCAGGCACATGTTATCATTTCTCTTCTTTCAATACTTAGAAGTGGAATGTTTAGATTGTAAGGTAAGTCTATGCTTTAAAAGAAACTGCCAAACCATTTTACAGAGTAGTTGTACTATTTTACTTGCCCACCAGTAGCAGGTGAGAGCTTCACAATTTGCCAACACTTGATACAGTCAATCTTTTAAATTTTAGCCATTCTGGTGGGTGTGTAGTGTTTTCTTATTGTTTTTTTTTAATTTGACTTGCATTTCCATAATGAGTAATGATGTTGAGCATCTTTTCATGTGCTTATTTTGAGCTACCCATTTTTAAATACTCCATTGGTAATAGGGTTAAGCTAAGTTTGGGCAAAGGAAGCAGTGTTGCATGACAGGTGCCGTAAGAGAATCTCACTCACCAATTCGCTATGAAATTCTTCTTAACTTACTTGAAATTCCCACACCTGAGGGACAAAGTTACGTACTTTTTTGAGTTAAGAGAACCAGTATAAGGAGCAGTTTCTAAAAAAGATGTTTTGAGTTAAAATGCCTAAGTTATCTGTAAGTGAAGACAGCAATGGATATGTTTCCTCCAATTTTCTTCCATTAGAACAGATTGTTTTCTAGATTAGCTAAAGGTCATATAGGGACTTCCCTGGTGGTCCAGTGGTTAAGACTCCTGCTTCCACTGCAAGGGGCGTGGGTGCCATCCCTGATCAGGGAACTAAGACCCCACATGCCTCGTGGCGTGGCCAAAAAAAAAAAGAAAAAAATTATAGAGACTATGCTTTGTGGGAATGGCAGAGTGGCTATGGTCCTTAGAGAAGGTGGAGAGACCAGAATAGAGGATGAAGAATTGCAAAAGAAATTGGAAATGGCAGCCCAGATAGGACCCCCTGTCTGGTAAGCAATGGCTGCTGTGTATGTGTATCCTGGGGGAGTTTGGTCAGGTGGGTGAGACTGAGAGAAGAAGGAGGAGACAGGGTGAATACACAATTATGTTAGGGAGGGCAGGCCCTAGATAGTGGAGTGCCTAAAGGGGAGACTGAGACCAGAAGCGGGGACAACACTGAATGTTAATGTTATCTCCTTCATAGTTTTGTTCAGAACAGAACTGTTACTTTAGAACATCCTGAACTAGAACATCTTCTATTTTCAGTCTTCTACAAACTAGATTCCTTCAGTTTGGGGCCTTTCCCACCCTTTTCCAGCTCTCCCTTTTGGGTTTCATATGATAGAAGAAGAGAATAGTTTTTGTGGTGGCAGCCACTGCCTGCAGCTCCCCTTCCCTGCCAAGCTCCACAACCAAAATCTTTAATGGCTGTTTCCTTGACAGCATAATTTTGTGGTTTAGAGTTAGTTAGGTCTCTGGAGCCAAATTGCCTGGGTTCAGTCTCTAGCTCTACCATTTATTAGCTGTATTACTGTGGGCAAGTTGCTTAATCTTCCTGTACCTCAGTTTCCTTGTATAAAAATAGAGATAAGAATATTACCTTCCTTAGAGAGTTGTGAGGATTAAATGAATTAATAATTTTAAAGTGTTTAGGGAACCACTGGTGGTCCAGTGGTTAAGACTTGGTGCTTTCACTGCCATGGGCCCAGGTCCAGTCCCTGGCTGGGGGACTAAGCCATGCCGCATGGCCAAAAAAAAAAAAACAAAAAAGTGTTTAGAACATTACCTGGCAAGTTTTAAGCTCTCAATAAATGTTAGCTGTTAATTGAATTTAAACTCTTTGGCCCCACTTTCAAGGCATTTCATAATCTGGCCTCTGTCCATCTACCCTTCTATCCCATTACTTCTTGTCTACTTCATTTGAGTTTTGCTGATTTCCTCACTGAATCATGAATCTATGTATAACTCCAGATGGTGTCCATTGCCTGGAAGGTCCTTAATTCAAATCCTACCCAGTCTTCAAAGATCACTTCAAATCCCATTTCCTCTTCTACCTCTTATTATATCTTGAGTTCTCATCAACCATCTTCCCATTTGGATTCATAGTACCATAGAATTTAGTGAATAATTACACTCTCATCACTCCTTCACGTGAATCAGTTTTGTCTCCCTAATAGCCTGTTAACTTCCTGAGGGCAGAAACAATAGCTGATACTTCTGAGCCCTCTTTCAGTGGAGTGAACACATTGTCTTTATGCCATCTTAAGCGTCTGTAAAGAGATTCAACATAGGCAATAAATGTGAAGAATTCATAACTTTAATAACAGATTAGTTAGGGGTGGGGATGATAGCTTCTTTCCTATCTGTGCTATTCTCCAAAGACAGAGATTCCCTTCACCAAAAATCCAGACAACTCCCACTTCATCTCTGAACCAAGAAAGCAGAACACATCTTACCCACATATTCTTATCAATTAGACTCTTCTCCTTATCATTTCCTCCTCTTTCCACCTTCCAAGAGAAAATATCATTAGATTTTGAGTTTCTGATGGGTAATGATCACCTCTTTCTCTTTCAGTTCTTCTCTATTAAAAGTCTCAACCCTTAAATTTTCTGCTGATGGTCAGGACCCCATAACCTCTAAGCTTGTAGGGGTGATCTCAGGAGTAGATGGACTGGAACAATTTGCTTCCTATAAACAAGACTGGGAAAATTAGTGAAGAGCCCCTACTGAGGTCTGGAATGCAGAAACCTTGCCCAGAATCCTCACTCTGTGATCATTTCAACCCTGGACTGCAGCCTCTCTCACTCTGGATAAATGTCATTGTTTCATGTGTCTCTTAGTCCCCACTGTTTCCTTCAGTGATTTTTTATGTTCTTCCTTGCCAATCTCTATCCACAAATCACTTCTAAACCAGTCATGAGATTGCTGGCCTAGTTATTGAATGCAAAGCCACAGAACAAAGACCCCAGAAAGGAGTGGGGCTAGGAGGGTTGCTGAGGAAAGAGGAACCCCAGCATCTGAAGGGAAGAGGTGCAGTTTTTCCAAGTCCGGCAGGAAGGCTCGGGCATCCTCCAGAGCTGCCTGAGCTGCCACAGTAAAGTTGGGGTCACCAGAGATTAAAACATCAAAGACACAGGAATGGAAGTAAGCGTCTTCAACTGGCAGCCCTTCCTTGCACAGCTGTCTGGCAGTATCAATGGTTATAGCTCCCCGAGGACTGCGCTCTGAGCGTGAGAGTCGCTGACTTGGAGGGCATCCCCCAACGCAGAGCTGCAAGTCCTGCTCAGCTGAGAAGGCCCTGGCCACATCCTCTGCTACTTTGATGGAGAAGGAGAGCTGCCCACCTGTCTGCCGAATGATTATAGTTGTGCCAATGTAGGCAGCTCGGATCTCCACATGGCTCCCAGGGTTAGCAGTTCGAATGGATAAACTTGAGCCCCCAGGTCGGTCACCTCCATTGATAGAACCATCTTCAAAGGCTGCGGGAAGATTGTCCACCTCAGCCTGGTAGACCTTCTGATCAATGCATTC